CAGATAGGGAGTGACGTTGGAACATTCAGCCATAAGTAAGATGACTTTAACACACCTCTTTCCTCAAGGCTCAGGCATCTATTCAGAAGTGGAGGCAGAGAGAATGTAAGAGCCAGAGGTGATAAACCACTCCAACAAAACATGATTTTCCAGGTACTTTAGATTTGATGTACATATGAACTCACAGAGACTGTAACATTATGCATGCGACCTTCACAGTTTCAATCCAGATTGGATCCCAGCACTGACAGGGGGAAGGAGACATACCTTTCCACCCCTAATCAAGAAGCTGGTTGTCATTTATCACTCTGCTGGGAGAAAAAAAGTTGAGTTTTTTTAAGGGCTGTGTCACTGAGTATATCAAACACACTCCAGCTCTGGCTTCATGCCTAAGACCAGTTGGTCAACACAAATTGATTTGTGTGTTCTTTCTTTGTTTGTTGTTTATGATGATGTTTTGTTTTTCTAAAGAGAATAAAATATGGGTGGTTATGAAAGTGGGGGAGAATCTTGAAGGAGTTGGGGATGGTATAAGAATATTGTCAAAAGATAGAGTATGTAATTTTCAAAATAATATTCATCAACCAAAACCAAGGAAATCACATGAAATAATTATTCAAAATTATTTCTATTAGTAAAACTAAAGTATAACATTTAACACATATTTTCCTTAAATATTCTCAAAATAAAGAAATATCTTTTGATTAAGGTGAAAGGAAATAGTATATATTCCCTCTTGTCCACTGAAGAGTTTAAAAGTTCATTAGAAAATATACATTAAAACCTTTTAAGAGGCTTGAGAAATTACTGGTTGTTAGAGTCATGACTCTTCCAGAGCACCTAGGTTTGACCAGTAGCATCTTGTTAGGTGGCCCATAACTACCTGTAACTCAAGTGTCAGAGGATCTGATGCCCTCTTCTGACCTCCACAGTCATTTGCATGCACCTGGTTCTCATGCATACTTGGCACATTCAGAGCACATAAGATAAAAAATAAATACATTCATAGTGATAAAATGTTTTCAACAAAATTATCCTTGTGGGGAAATTATATGGCTTTCAAACGTTGTTTTATAAATATACTTGAACAGGTTCTTTGTGTCACTATCAACACGTTTGCAATATAAATGTAAATCACAAGAAGGAAGCAGACATGTCTTATGTGCCCACCGGGTTTCTTATATGTACTCTCTTGTGCACTTCTCATACAGAAAACAGTACAGCATCATTGAACAATGTTTTCAAACAGCCATGATGTTAATATTTTTCCTATTCATCAACTCAGCACCTGACAGTAACCATTTCTACTATTTTTTCGATGAGATTTCAACATGGAGAGAGAGATGATGAATGACACACAGAGATCTGCTCCCATCAGTATTTTTGGAAAGGGCATGTGTGTGTTCAGCGTAGTTTATGTCAAAAGGTACAAACTATATCCTCAGATTCTCTCTCTTGAAGGTCAGACAATGAAAATGGACTTTTTAAAAAGGCACCTGCTATCCATGCTTCAATTTATAAGTCTTCCTTATGAACAGTGCTTTCTGTAAAGAACTTAAAATAAGAAAGCAAAAGTGACTTGTTCAAAAATTGAGTCTAAAAATAATCGTATTCAATTGCCTTGTTTGCTCAGAAAGTCAGGATAACATTATTCCTTGAGAGAAAGATTCTTTGCTGCATACAAACTTAAATAAAACATGTAGTCATTTAACAAAGAATAATAATAATTCTTAGCTATAAAATATTCACCTTTCTTATCATTTGCGGAGGTTCCAATTCTTCATATTTTTCATTGTTTTTTATAGTGATCTATGAATATCCTAGTCTCAGAGATTTCCTATATCTATTTCTTACTTTTCAGTAATATAAAAGTAACTTTGTAAGGTAAGTACTAAATAAACATGAATATTAAGGACGTTTTAGGTAAACACTCACCATGGGATATGCATAAACTTACTTTCAGACAATAAAATGGTCCTAAGAGCGTTTGGTCCCCCACTAGCCTTCCATGTTCTAGAACTAAATTTTACATCATAACTCTAATTATGTAGTTTCTCCAACCTACATACAATATATACTTGTCCCAGTCCGTTTATTTATTTATTTATTTTTGGAATTCTATCTCCATGTGTCGATTAACTTGTCTTTTTTGCATGTTTTCTTTCAACACAGTTCCCTGTGTCATAAAGATGTTTTCATATAAGTATGTAATGTACTTTGATCATGTTGTCTCCATGTGCCAGATCCTTTATCTGTACCTGTTCCTATTATTCATCTACATGGATGAATAAAAATAATGCCTTAATGGTTTGAGTGTCCAAGTCAATGTTCTTTTGGTACACATAACCAAAATAGACTAAAGATAATTTAGAGAACAATAGTACAAATACTACCTGCAATATATTTGCTATTCTCAGTATAAGGAAAAACGCATAAAGGAAACTATACACATGCTGTATATATTTGTGACAAAATAAGAATGAAAGCTAAAAAAGTTTGTTTTTCATAAGCAGTGCTGGGTGAGGAAAGGATGGAAAGAAGCGAGGCAGAGCCTGAGTAACAAACATGGAGAGTTTTAGTCCTTGAGTATATCTTTGTGGATTGTCCCTGAACTCTATTTCTTCTAATTTCCACATATAAGAAAATGAGCAAATAAAACAAATAGTTATGAACAAAACATACAACATGCTATGTTGAGAAATACATTCAAATAAATGAACTTAATTGTCCTGAGAATTGATAATATAATCATATCGACAGGAATGAAGAAAATCACAAATATAGATACATTTATAAAATTACATCTTACTCAGATAATATAAGAATAAGTAGAAAATGACTTTCGGTTGAATTTTCACAGGGACATGTGCTAATAATTCTTTAAATTTTATTATATGGGCAGGTTTAGTGAACAAATGTGATGTAAATGGAAAAAGACAGAGCATAACAGAGGGTAAAAGTTTCAAACATGAAAAACAGGGGGAAAACTCAAGTAGTCCTGTAGTGTTAAATAGGAAAGTACAGATCTGTGTATTTCGCATTAAATGATGATGATGTGACAGATAGATGATAGATAGATAGATAGATAGATAAATAGATAGATAGATAAGTAGATAGATAGATAGATAGATAGATAGATAGATAGATAGATAGATAG